GCACCTGTCTTCTGCTCTTCCAGAACCTGTCGTCCCCACTGACACATGGGAACCCAGCATCATAGCAGCTTCTCCCCTACCTTCATCCCTGGCCTACAAAGCATATCATCCCTGAGTTTCTTAATGATGCCAGCGCCCCCTTCACTAGTTCATTCTTTATTGCCTTAATGAAGGGAGTATTTTCTGGCCATCCCAAAGAGCAGAGTCATCTCAGAAGTTTTTTGTCATCCCATAATAAATTTATTCTAACATGCCACCTCTGCCAGCCTTTGACACCTTCCTCTACACCATGCCAAGACAGCTCTGGCACTTCCAGCTCATTTACTGTAAGCTATTTTTTTTCCAAGCTTCAAGGAACCTTATGATTAGTGAATTAAGACTGGCTCCAAGTGTCCTTGCCAGGATGTTAAACCATGAGTTGTGGGAGAGAGCCCACATGTCAGTAAACTTTTATCCAGTCTATATTCCCTGACCCTGCGGCAGATGCCTCACAAGACAATACTGGCCCTCCACAAAATCTGTCTTTATCTTCCGTTTTAACTTCTAGAGCAATAACTGGGGTAGAGTATCAGCTCAGCCTGAGGAGGTACTAGTACAGGAAGAAAGGTATTATTCACCTAAATAGCTATAGGACCTGTCCATGATGTAACACAGGAAGGAAGAGAACATGCCTGTGAAAAGATCTTGACTTTTACAGTCTAGTCTGTCAAAATGTGCTTTTTAACTAGAGTTACTGGCATTACTGATTTATTTCTGCCATCTTATTTTACTTTCATTTGTCCTATTTAAAATTTTTCTATTTTTGTCTCTCCTTTTTTGACTGTTTTTTCCCCTTTACTCATTCCATCTTTCTCTTTCTGTTTGTCTGAAAATATACTATCTGTATCTGTTTAATGTCATTACCTAGATAGGAGAATGTACATTTGATAAAGTCTTATTTTTTTATTTGCAGCTCCAGCTCCAGTGAGATTTTTTCTTTTTTTCTTGTTTTTATTTTATTTTATTTTATTTTTTTATTTGCTGCTCCTGGTAAAGTCTTTAACCAATATGTTTACACTCCTCTAAAAAATGCAAGGGCATTAGGATGCTTTAACTTTGGCCCCCTCCTCCCAGTATGTATGCTACCATTTCCCATTATTTTACTTCTTAGTTTTCTTTTTAAACCTCAAAAACCAAGCATTATTGTTTTGTATAATAAATGTTTGTTTAGATTTCTCAATAACTTTGCTCACTCTGTGTGTGTGTGTGTGTGTGTGTGTGTGTGTGTGTGTGTGTGTGTGTTAGGCCTATTGACAGGGATTACTTTTTCTCTCCCTAAAGAGGATCCCTTAGAATCTTTAGTGAACATGTGCTGGCAATTAGCAGTCTGTTTTTGCCTAACTGAAAATACTTCATTTTTGCCCTTGTTCTTGATATACAGTTTCTCTGAGTATACAATTCTACCTTGAAAATATATGTTTCTCTCAACTCAGCATTGCTGCCAAGGTCACTTATTGGTTTAATTGCTGCTCTTTTTGGAGCACTCTCTCTTTTCTTCTAGGTTCGCTTTTAAAGTTATATTAATCTTTGGTATTATACAGATTTACCATTTTGTTTCTTCATGTAGATTTCTTTTTTTAAAAAAAATTTATTTTAAGTTTCAGGATACATGTACAGGACATGCAGGCTTGTTACATAGGTAAACGTGCCATAGTGATTTGCTGAATCTATCATCCCATCATCTAGGTATTAAGCTCTGCATGCATTAGCTATTTATCCTGATGCTCTCCCTCCCCGCCCCTCCACCAGGCCCCAAAGTATGTTGTTCCCCTCCCTGTGTCCATGTGTTCTTATTGTTCAGCTCTCACCTATAAGTGAGAAGATGCAGTGTTTGGTTGTCTGTTCCTGTGTTAGTTTGCTAAGGATAATGGCTTCTAGCTCCATCCATGTCCTTGCAAAGGCCATGATCTCGTTCTTTTTTGTGGTTGCATAGTATTCCATGTTGTGTATGTACCACATTTTCTTTATCCAGTCAACCATTGATGGGCATTTGGGTTGATTCCATGTCTTTGGTATTGTGAATAGTGCTGCAGTGAACATATGTGTGCATGTATCTTTATAATAGAATGATTTATATTCATTTGGGTATGTACTCAATAATGGGATTGCTACGTCAAATGGTATTTCTGGTTCTAGGTCTTTGAGGAATTACCACACTGTCTTCAACAATGGTTGAACTAATTTACATTCCCACCAACAGTGTAAAAGCATTCCTATTGCTCTACAGCCTAGTCAGCATCTGTTGTTTCCTGACTTTTTAACATTGCCATTCTGACTGGTATGAAATGGTATCACATTGTGGTTTTTATTTGCATTTCTCCCTCATGATCATGGATGTTGAGCTTTTTTTCATATGTTTGTTGGCTGCATAAATGTCTTCTTTTGAGAACTGTACATGTCCTTTGCCCACTTTTTAATGGGGTTGTTGGGATTTTTTCTTGTAAATTTAAGTTTCTTGTAGATTGTAGGTATTGGGCTTTTGTCAGGTGGATAGGTTGCAAAAGTTTTCTCCCATTTTGTAGGTTGTCTGTTCACTCTGATAATAGTTTCTTTTGCTGTGCAGAAGCACTTTAGTTTAATTAGATCCAATTTGTCAATTTTTGCTTTTGTTGAAATTGCTTTTGACATTTTCATCATGAAATCTTTGTCCATACCTATGTTCTGAATAGTATTGCCTGGATTTTCTTCTAAGGTTTTTATACTTTTGGGTTTTACATTTAACTCTTTAATGCATCATGAGTTAATTTTTTGTATAAGGTATAAGGAAACAATCCAGTTTCAATTTTCTGCATATGGCTAGCCAGTTTTTCCCAGTGCTATTTATTAAATAGGGAATCCTTTCCCCGTTGCTTGTTTTTGTCAGATTTGTCGAAGATGAGATGGTTTTAGATATGCAGTTTTATTGCTGAGATCTCTATTCTGTTCCATTGGTCTATGTGTCTGTTTTTGTACCAGTACCATGCTGTTTTGGTTACTGTACCCTTGTAGTATAGTTTGAAGTTGAGAAGTGTGATGCATATTGTCTTGGCTATTCAGGCTCTTTTTTGGTTCCTTATGAATTTTAAAGTAGTTTTTTTTCTGATTTTGTGAAGAATGTCAGTGGTAGTTTAATGGAAATAGAATTGAATCTATAAATTATTTGGGCAGTATAATCATTTTCATAATATTGATTCTTTCTATCCATAAGCATGGAATGTTTTCCCATTTGTTTGTGTCCTCTCTTATTTATTTGGGCAGTAGTTTGTAGTTCTCCTTGAAGAGGGCCTTCACTTCCCTTGTTAGCTGTATTCCAAGGTATTTTATTCTCTTTGTAGCAATTGTGAATGAGACTTCTTTCATGATTTGGCTCTCTGCTTGCCTATTGTTGGTGTATAGGCATCCTTATTATTTTTGCACATTGATTTTGTATCCTGAGACTTTGCTGAAGTTGTTTATCAGCTTAAGAAGTTTTTGGGTTGAGACAAAAAAGGGTTGGGTTTGTTCCTGACCTCATAATCTGCCCTCCTTGGCCTCCTAAAGTGCTGGAATTACAGGCATCAGCCACCATGTCTGGCGAAGGATTTTTCATGTCTCGATATAGTTTATGTCATTGGCAGAGACAATTTGACTTCCTCTCTTCTTTATGTCCTTGTGTACTCGATATTTAGCTCCCACTTGTAAGTGAGAACGTGTAATATTTGGTTTTCTGTTCCTGCATTAGTTTGCTTAGGATAATGGCTTCCAGCTTCATCCATATTGCTGCAAAGGACATGATCTTATTTTTCATGGCTGCATAGTATTCCATGGCATGTATGTACCACATTTTCTTTATCTAGTCTACCACTGATGGACATTTTGGTTGATTCCATGTCTTTGCTGTTGTGAGTAGTGTGATGAACATACATGTGCGTGTATGCAAAGGACATTATCTTGTTTCTTTTTGCTCTGTCATTTAACTAAATATTTAATAGTTCTAATAATACTATTATTTTGTTAATATTTTATCATTTCCACTTTAGAATTTTCTTTGATCCAGTAATACTTAGAAGAATATTGTTTTCTTTTTTCTTTTTAATTTTCAACAATTAGGGGTTTTTAAAACTACTTTTATCATTATTTTTAACATATTTTATTGTGATCAAGAGATACTTCTCATTCTATTTTACTGTTTACATAATAGAAATATTCAGTGGGTATATATATTTTATGAGTATAAATATGTAAATAGTTTATAAGTGCTTGAAAACAAAACATAGTCTTTGTGCAAAAACAAATAAAAAACTTATGACCTTATTTATTTCTGATTGACTCCAAAAGAGTTGGACTGAGTTGAAACCTGTTCATGTTAAAATATTGAGGACTCAAGCTTCTGTGCCTATAAATCCACTTAAGAGCTCAAAATAGCAAAAGGTTTCTGAAAACAACTTTAAAATAAATATATGTTCTTACAGTCATTTATAAAATATTACAAAAGAAAAAATGTAAAACTACGTTACTTTTGGAAAAGTTTTCTTCATGAAATTAACTGAAGCTTCCTAAAATATGAAAATATGAATCTAATAAATTAGCCAACGTTACCTTTTCTATTTCTGGTAAAATTTATGCGTGCACCTATGTTGCATGTGCATATATAACATATTTTACTTTAATTTGGTTTTTAATATAATACACACAAATGTATGTATTTATACATATATATTTACTTTTTCCTTAAGTTAGACTTTCAGAAACACTTTGAGCTCTCTTTCATACAACATATAGTTGCATTTTGTTTTTGTCTCAAACTAAGAGCTTACTATTGTTTTTATAGATGAGTTAAACTTATTTGCAATTACTGACAAAATTCATGTGTTTAATGAAATGACTTTTGGGATAAGAAATGACTTCTGGGATAAGAAAATTCACAGGTTATTTTAATTGTTCCTAGCCATCTACTCCAACCAAATTAGGCAAGTTAACAATCTTACCCTTTTTTATTGTAGTATTTTGTATCATGACTTCTCAAGAGAAGACAGAAGAGCATCCTTTTGCAGATATATTTGATGAAGATGAAACTGAAAAGAATTTTTTGTTTTCCAAACCTGTTTGCTTTGTTGTATTTGGGAAACCAGTAAGTTATTTCTTATTATTTGGTATAATTCTTTTATTTTTAAAATCACAATTTTTTAAGTTACCATATAAGAATAAAAACCACATATTGTGCTAAGTTTTTGAGTGCCTGACAAGCTTTCATTAAGTGACTTAAAATCTAACATAATATTGGTTATAAATTTGTAACTTTCTTCTTATATGTTATAATTGAGTAGGAACCCAGGTTGTATTTAAATTTGCTTTTATATTATGAGGAAATTAACTCACCAAAACACTGTACACTGTACATGACAACTGTTAGTAATGTGTGATCTGAGGTTATTTCAGACTTGATTTGCATATAAAACTTCCTTTGCAATTTGTTGTGAGGCTCTGGACATGTGAAGATAGGACACCATCAAGAAGGGCCAGGAAGTTCTGTTAATATGAGATCCTGAGAGGCACTGTGCCTTAGGCTTTACCTACAGCTTGTTAGAGGACCTATGTATTGTCTTTCCACAAAGGGGAAGAAATCAAAATGGCTGTTGTAATAAAGTTTGCTTTTCTAGACAGTTCTAGTGAGGATCTCTAGATAAGAGCTACTGACAGCCACTAAGCTGGTTAATTAAAGAGCCTCTCCAGAACAGCAGAGATTAAGAACTGGATCCCATCCTTGACTTATTTTATGTGGACCCTTGGACATGTACCAATAAATAGTTCCAGCAACTTTTACTATGTTTGTAAAAACATAATAGGGTTTAAAAAGTCAGCAGTGAAAGCAACCAGCTGTAAATGTTACTTCAGCAAAATGACCTTTTATCTTTAAAGTATGATACTTTCCAAAGATGTCAGTTAAAAAGGATCTTTTTGCTCATCAAAATTACTAAATGGAAGCCTGTCAAAACAGTCATGATTATAAACTTTAGAAAGGAAATAAAATGATGACTCTCCAATATAATCACAATGATTTATAATCAAAATTATAAAATTTGACAGTTAAAAGAGTGCAATACCGTAATGGTATAGCTTCCTGATTTTAGGACTATCTACTTAATTTTAAAAAGTTTATTTATGTTACTTTAGGAGATGTGGCATATGCAGGAATTAGTAGAGAAACTAAATTATACGTATCTAGGGTCTACTTTTCATTTTTATGGGAAAATTACTTTATAACATTGATGTAACAGTAACTAGCAATAAAATCTTTAAAAATTGGTATATCTGTTTCACTGGCAAGTGATTGTTCTATTGGGCTTTAAATAACATTTTTCTTTTTAAGGGTGTTGGGAAAACAACATTAGCCCATCACATAGCACAGGCATGGAAATGTATTCGTGTTGAAGGTAAATTTTATCTTTTTTTTCCAGTATTTTATTATGAATACTTTCAAATGTGCATAAAATGGAGATAATTATACAGTGAACACCCATATACCCACCATCTGTAGTCTGTGATTAACATGTTGCTATATTTGCTTTATCACATGTTTATCCATCTATCAACCTAGTGAATATTATCTGTTTGGGTTTTTAATTTATATTTAATTTAATTATTTATTTATTTTCTTTGTTTTTGTAGAGACAGGGTCTCGCTTCGTTGCCCAGGCTGGTTTCAAACTCCTGGGCTCAAACAATCTTCCCACCTTGGCCTCCCAAAGTGCTGGGATTACAGGTGCAATATATGAGACAATGGGTTGATGTCTTTATGTATAAATTTTTTAATTAATAAAACTATTTGTGCCCTAATAGAAAAATAAGTAAAAGAATGAATAGGAAATACATAAAAGTAGAAATAAAAATAAACAATATAAGACAAAAAGAGTTTAACATCATTCTAATAAATGTTAATTAAAATAACACTGATCTATACTTGCCTACCAAATTGGCAGTGAATCTTTACAATTACGACAATCACTGTTGGTAAGGATGTTATGAAATGGGCATTCCACATGCCATTAGTAAAATTGTAATCTGGTACAATTTTTTTGGAGAACAATTTATAATACATAACACACACGCAACTCTAAAATTGTCCCATTTCTTTGATCAAAAAGTTTACTTCTAGGAAATCTTAAAGAATACCAAGCATCTCATAGATTATTAACAGCTAATGACATAACAACTCTCCTGGGTCTTCCCCTGGGTCATGCCCCTTTCATTCCTATCCCAGGATATGCTTCATGAGGGAATGATACATTTCCTCTTATAAAGGAAACAAATCATTGGAATTTCAGCCTCAAGACCTCTCTTTCTAGTTAGTATTTACTCATTTTAACATTTCTTGATTCATTTGTTTTTACACCATCTGCAAAACTAGTGGGCTTTGAATGTAGGGTGGTTATGAATATCTGGATTAATTAATACCAGCGCATACTTTTGTAACTATACTTAATGATTTAGAAATCACTGTCATATACACCACCTGATTTCATCTTTACATTCTATTGTACACTACACAGTACATGTGCATCCAAGATGCAGAGGTGTTTACAAAGTTATCTTCCTCAATATTCTTTATATTTTATTTAATTTTTAATTTTTATTTTGAGACAGGGTCTTACTCTGTCACGCAGGCTGGAGTGCAGTGACATGATCACGGCTCTCTGCAGCCTTGCCCTTGCAGGTTCAAGTGGTTGCCCCCACCTCAGCTTCCTGAGTAGTGGGGACTACAGGCATGCACCATCACGCCCTGCTAATTTTTTACTTTTTGTAAAAATATGGTCACCCGATGTTGCCCAGGCTGGTCTCAAACTCCTAGGCTCAAGCAGTCCTCCTACCTTAGCCTCCTAAAGTGCCAGGATTGCAGGCATGAGTCACCATATCCGCTTCTTCAAGATTTTTAAGCTAGTAAGTGGCAGAGACAAGTTCTCTATGGAATACATTCTGCTGCTTCTGCTTTTTTTAGGCTTTTGCATTGTAAACTATAAAGTGATGCACAAATGTTAATCTTTGTTATCAGTTACAAGACACTAGAAAGTGTTTCTTATTTTGGCGATCCTAATATCAGTCTGTATTAATATTTTGAATTCATGTTTTAGCTTTGCCAATTTTGGAAGAACACATTGCTGCTGAAACCGAATTAGGAGTTATGGTAAACAAATCTAAATATCAAAGTAACTATGATTACAAAAAAAAGCTCTGTTTCATAGATATATTATATAGTAATGTACAATATCTATGCTTGTCCTTAGTTGCAGTCAATGTTGATCAGCGGTCAAAGCATTCCAGATGAACTTGTCATAAAGCTAATGTTGGAGAAGCTCAACTCCCCAGAAGTCTGTCACTTTGGTATGTTTATTTTAACACGTTTACAGCCCACAAAGCAGCCTTAAAACTTGTGCTTTACCTGAGGCACAAATAGTTTCTGGAGTTGCCTTTTCTTTTGCCTTAGCATAGGAATCTCAGTGTCTATATTCAGTTGAGCAGTTCAGATGGTTTTATTTGCTTGTTTGATTTTATATCCCAGATTGTACATTTGTTTAAAAAATAAGTTTATATGACCCAATCTTCTTTAACATTGTGTTAGCCAATAAAAGCATCAGAAATCTGCTGTGGTCCATCTTGCAGCACTGCTAACTCTGCTGAATGTTTTCCCATACACCCTGGGTTATATCGCTAAGTTCTGACAATGGCTAGGGTTCTCTGCATTAATCCACACTTACAAGGCAGGAATGGAAAGTGAAATGGCACCAGCTTGCTCTTGAGCTCCAGATAGCGTCAGGCTTCAACCTGTTCATCCACTCTGCCCTCTGACTCTGGACCTGAAACCTCTCCCAGCACTCAAATGGATGCTGAGCAAGGGCTTTGGATCTAATTTATCAAGACAAAGACCACTGAAGCTCAAAATGGTTAAAAAGAAAAGAGCAAACTCTAAGACCTCTGCAAAAGCAGAGAAGAATAAAGACAAGTTTGGGATAAAATCATCCACCTGAAATAGGATTTATTGAATGAAAAAATAAAAATTTAAAAAGTTGCTTCATATTCTCAGCAAGTTAGAAGAGGACATTGAAACTATTAAGAATGCAAGAATAAAAATACAGGAAAGTAAAAACCATAACTGCCAAAGCAAATCAATGATGGAAGCAGCAAAAGCAGCCTTGTCAAACTGTATTTATTGATCTTCACCTATAGATAGAAAAATACCTCTTCACATAGATCATATGTATAGAGAGAGAATACATAGAATGTCCCTTATCTATCCACATATGTAGACAGATCTCTATATGGAGATTTTATATATATATATATATATATATATCTCCATTTTATATATATAACATATATATTCATATGTATGGATTATAAATAAATTATAAGTAGATTGGTAAGATTTGCCTATAAACTGCCTACCTATCTATCCACTTATTACCTATTTGTTCAGCAGTGATAAACAGGATGACCTTGGGCAAAATATCTAGAATATGGAAGGCTGGTTAACTAAAAATGCAAACAGGAATCACAGAATTCCAGATTAGGTCAATAAATAACCTCAGAAAGCATAGTATCTGAAACAGAAATATGTATATAGGTAGGCAAGTAAATACCTATTTGTTAACCTCCCTTACCTCTTTATAAATTTAGATTGATTTACATGGCTAGAAAAAAGATGGCATAAATTATAAGTATTAGCAAAAGGAGAAAGAAAAAACACAAAGAAAAAGAAATTCAGTTGTACCTCTCATGGTGTTCATAATGTTTTAGAATTCTTATTAGGTGTTTTAAAATTCTTATTAGAAAATAGTTCAAACAAAAATAGAGAAGTATAGATATTCTTCCACATGACTCCACCACCCAGGTTTGGCATATGTCCAAAACCAGCTCTAGTCTAATCTCATTTTATCTACACCTCTACTTACTGCCTTCTCTCAGCCTATGCTATTTTTAAGCTAATTCATATCAGTTCATCTGTAAAATGTTCCATTTGTATCTCTAAGAGATGAGGACTCTTAAACTATTAACACATTATCATTATCCCACCTAAAAATTAATTGTAATTCCTTGATATCATCTACTAACTAGTCTGCGGTCATTTCACTAAATACCTCATTGATGCTTTTTAGTTGATTTTTTTTTTTAAGCAGGATCTAATCAGGTTTCAGATATTGCAAGTGACTGGTATGTCTCAAGTCTCTTTAAGTTTCCCCTACTTCTTTCTATCTTCTTGTGTCTTCTCTGTTGAAGAAATGACCTAAAACCATAAAAACCCTAGAAGAAAACCTGGGTAATACCATTCAGGACAAAGGCATGGACAAAGACTTCATGACTAAAACACCAAAAGCAATGGCAACAAAAGCAAAAATTGACAAATGGGGCCTAATTAAACTAAAGAGCTTCTACACCACAAAAGAAACTATCATTGGAGTGAACAGACAATCTATAGAATGGGAGAAAATTTTTGCAATCTATCCATCTGACAAAGGACTAATATCCAGAATCTACAAAGAACTTAAACAAATTTACGAGAAAAAACAAACAACCCCATCAAAAGGTGGGCAAAGGATATGAACAGACGCTTCTCAAAAGAAGACATTTATGCAGCCAACAAACGTGAAAAAATCTCATCATCACTGGTCATTAGAGAAATGCAAATCAAAACCACATTGAGATCCCATCTCACACCCGTTAGAGTGGAGATTATTAAAAAGCCAGGAAACAACAGATGCTGGAGAGGATGTGGAAAAATAGGAATGCTTTTACACTGTTGGCGGGAGTGTAATTTAGTTCAACCATTGTGGAAGACAGTGTGGCAATTCCTCAAGTATCTAGAACCAGAAATAACATTTGAGTCAGCAATCCCATTACTGGGTATATACCCAAAGGATTATAAATCATTCTACTATGAAGACACATGTACACGTATGTTTAATGCAGCACTGTTCACAATAGCAAAGACTTAGAACCAACCCAAACGCCCATCAATGATAGACTGGATAAAGAAAATGTGGCATATATACACCATGGAATACTATGCAGCCATAAAAAAGGGTGAGTTAATGTCCTTTGCAAGGACGTAGATGAAGCTGGAAACCATCATTCTCAGCAAACTAACACGGGAACAGGAAACCAAACACTGCATTTTCTCACTCACAAGTAGTTGAACAATGAGAACACATGGACACAGGGAGGGGAACATCATAAACCAGGGCCTTTTGGGGGATAGGGGCTGGGGGAGGGATAGCAGTAGGAGAAATACCCAATGTAGATGATGGGTTGATGGGCGCAGCAAACCACCATGGCACGTGTATACCTAGGTAACAAACCTGCACGTTCTGCACATGTATCTCAGAACTTAAATAAATAAATTTTATAAAAAGAAGCAGGTCACTTGTAGAGTTTCTCTCATTCTGGATTTGGCTGATTGCATTCCTCAGTCCCCAATACTTCCTGTATGCAGGTATTGTCCTGGGGGCTGGCAAAGGAAAAGTGATATAAATGGTTTCTTTAGTCTGGGGGCGACACTCTCACCACTTGCTTACATGGCCACATTCTAGGCATGCACAAACAAGCTCATTTTAAAGGCTGCAGTGGAGATGGAACCTAAAGCCCTTTCTGCCCAACCACCCCTCATTCATTCTGTAGCATCCCCACAGGAATTTTTTAGAACCTATAACTCTGCTAAATACAGTTTGAAAGTCTTTAACCAAATTCCCAGCAAGCCTTCTCTTTTTGATGGTTACTGTCAACTTGTAGCCTGGTAGCAGAAGCATTTAAGTAAGCCAAGTTGGACACTAAGGTTAATAGCAAGACAAGGAAATCATGATTATAGTTCATATGTCCAAAACCAAGATGACAAGGTCTTTCTTTCTGCCTTTTTTAAGTTAAATTAGATAGCATTGCTTCTCTGGATAGAGCCCAACACAATGTTAGCAGAAAGTAAAGTGATTTAAAAAAAAAAATGCTTAAAAGAAATTGTGCATGCCTAAGCATTCAATTAGGTTTTGAATTACCATGATAATTTCTGGTCTTTTTAAAAAATAAAAGATTGTGGCCAGGTGCAGCACCTGTTATCCCAGCACTTTGGGAGGCCGAGGAGGGCTGACCATGAGGTCAAGAAATCGAGACCATCCTGGCCAACATGGTGAAACCCCGTCTCTACTAAAAATAGAAAAATTAGCTGGCCATGGTGGTGTGCACCTGTAGTCCCAGCTACTCAGGAAATTGAGGCAGGAGAATCACTTGAACCTAGGAGGTGGAGGTTGCAGTGAACTAATATCGTGCCACTGCACTCCAGCCTAGTGAGAGAGTAGGACTCTATCTCAAAAATTTAAAAAAAAAAAAAAATTGTGATAAACATGCTCCAGGTGCTTGGTAACTGTTTTTTATTATGCTATTCTAGGCATTGCATTAAGATAGTGGTTCTCAAACTTTTCGGGCACAAGACTCCCTTACACTCATAAGAATTGTTGAGGCTCCATAAGAAGTTGTGCTTATGTGGGCTATATGTATTTATATTTACCATATTAAAAATTAAAACTGAGACTTAAAAAAAGTTTATCTGTTTAGAAATCATAAAACCATGACTTGTTAACATAAATTGCATATTTTATGAAAGATAATTATATTTTTCAAAACAAAAAATTAGAGGAGTGGTATTGTTTTACATTTTCGCAATCTCTTCAATGTCCTACTTAAGAGAAAGCTGGATTCTCACACCTGCTTCTGCTCAATCTGTTACATGAAGAAAAATGTAGTTTCACACAGATATATACTTGGAAAGGGAGGAGTATTTTAATAGCCTTTGGAATAATTATGGATGTTCTTGATTCTACATCAAAACTCAACAAGTGGAAGTTTCCTGAAGGTTGATTGCATTTTGGAATCTGAAACTGCATCACTGAACTTTTCAAAACTTGGTTACATTAAAATCCACTGGTCTTTCTTGCACTTGGAAAGAGCCTATAACTCATGCCTAATTTTTGTGACACCATCTGTTGGTCATTTGGAGAATATTGGCTCACTGAGTTATACAGATCTTCCAAATGTTGACACATTTTACTATATAATATCAAAAAATCACATTTGCTAATGTCACCACCAATCTCAACAAGAAAAGCTCATTATTAAGCTTATGGTGTTGACTATAAGTTTTTCAAAATTCAGATTTTCACTTGAATATTATAACTGGCAAAAAAATACTATCAGTTTTGTCCTTGAAGTGACAGGGTCATTCCTTTTGCTTTTCATAAGATTTCTGCCAACTATCTAGGGCTGAATAAACATAATTTGGCAATTGTTCTTCCAAGAAAAGATGTTGTAGAAAAATAAGCTGAAAGCTTTTAATTCCCACTGAAGGAATTAAAACTTTATTAATAAGAGAAAAGTTTCTTGATCAAGACAGTAACATAATTAAAGAAATATATTAAGGAAATTATGTGATGATGGTAAACAGGGTGAATTTCAGTGAGAAGACTGAGATTTCTGGATGAGGATACAAGCCAATAAATGTGCTAAACCAAAATTATATTGGCTATTTAAAAAGCAGAAAACTATGTTATGTCCATGGGAATTTTATTACTCTCATAACTTACACAAACATTATATACATATATTCTACTATATTATGAAATATTAATATAAGAAAGAAAATAATATGGCATGCAACCTCTATAATACACTTTTGCCATTCATATGAGTAAATTTTCCTAACATGAGCTAAAATAATTACAAGCATGAAATTTCCTTCCCTAGGCACCTCATCTGTCTAAAATAAATTGACTTGGAATTTTCAAAAATGTCTCCTTCTAGCCCAGTGATTTTTTTATTATCAGAAAAACATTATTCTTAGTTACTCTTCATGACCTTAAGTGTTTATTTAAAATTTTTGACAGATGACTTTATGATAGATATTTTATAAAGTAATAATAATAAACCCATGCCCTCATATGTTGATAATAATATAAAACTTTTAAAATTGTATTTTACTTTACAGGTTATATTATCACTGAAATACCATCACTTTCACAGGATGCCATGACTACCTTACAGCAAATAGAATTAATTAAAAACCTAAATTTGAAACCTGATATTATGATCAATATAAAGGTAAGGGTATTAATTGTTTTGCTAGCAAACTATTCTTTTTTATAGTAGTTAAATTCAAGGAATGCTTTAAACATTTTTAAATAGTTATGGAGATAGTAACTTATGCATCAATCACAGAAACTGAGTCATACGTTCTCATAGTTCTGTGCTCTTGCTCCTACAGCTCCATCTACATGAGATACCTTCTTGCCTCTTCACCAGGCTTCATCATAGCCATCCTTTCAAAGTCAGTTAAGACATCATCTCTTTAGAACTTTCCCTGACAACTACCCCACTCCACCACCTCTCTTTCTCTCTTTTTCACACCTTTCTTACCGTAACAGGGTTAAATCCCTCTCTCAAGACCATTCTCGGTGCTCTCTGCTCCCTATCATGTTACTCACACCTTACTGTATTATAATGTAGTGAATAAAGTCCTTAACCCCATTCATGTTATAAGTGTGATGGTGAAGTGTCCTATGGCAGTTTCTACAGGGAACCAGAGTATCATCAGAGGGCTTAATGTGATACAGAATTCAGTGCCACACACACTTTTTGGATAGTTTGGCCTTACCGGATTGGGGAATAAGAATTTTGAGAACAGAAGCTCTTAGCCCAAGATCCATGATGAATCCCTAAGCATCCATGAACCTCTTGCAATTATACATAAAACTTTATGTATATGTGAATTTTTCTGATGCAAAAATCTATGGCTTTCATTATATTCTAAAGAAGTCTGTGCTACCAAAATCCTGGCTTAAGGGCTAGCAATCTGCTAGAGCAGTAGTTATCAGAGAGTGGTTCCAGAGCCAGCAGCACCCAGAAGCGTGGTAGAAATGCAAATTCTCAGGCCCTACCGCAGAACTAAGAACAGAATCTGTGAGGCGGAACCTAGCTATTGGTGTTACAAAGCCCTCCAGGTGACACTGAGCACCCCTGCTGTGGGGCATATCCTTCAGACTAAGACTCTCATTAGTCATTTCCTGCAAGTGAGGACAGGAGACAGCGGAAGGAGATCGTCCTTGTCAGGATCCTAGAATGTGGGTATTCTGGGTTAAACACATGTTTTTAAAATTACCTGAATAGGTTGAAATTCTTTTTGTGAAAAATTATGAAGCCTAATAAAAGTCTTTTCTCAATAACTACCCATCCCATCTCCACCTAGAGATGGCATGAAGAAATCAGAAAATGAGCAATGAAGGTTCCAACGTTCCTGGCTTCCTTTGTTTCTTAATGTGTGATACATGAACTTCCAGCATCAGAATCACTGAGGATTCTTGTTGAAGTATCTAAGCCTCACTCCAAACTTAATAAATGACAAGAGGAGCTGCAATTGATTTAACAAGCCCCCCAGATGCAGTTACATGCTCATGTGGCAGAATCAATGCCTCATAAAACAACCTAGATTTTTTTTTATCCTGAAAAACATTTAGAGCACAATGTATCAATCAGAGAACTATTATTATCATTAATAATGCACCCATAGAGCATGGACTACAATTAGAAGGCCTGGTTCCAAGTTGCAGTTCCTCCACGTGACATTATGATCTGAGATTGGTCTCTTAATCTGCCAGAGCTGCTTCTCTGACCTACGGGATGGCTGTAATCATAATTTGGATTGCTTATTTTACAGTTAGTTGAGAATTCAGTAAAATCGCACATATGAAAGCAATGTGGAACAAGAAACTTGTAGACTTTTGTTTTGGCATTTTTACTATCTGGGTTCAGTTTCCCATTTACAAAATTTAAATGTTATGCTAGAATAGATGATCTTTTGGGTCCTATTCATGACTGGCATTTTATAAAATACCTCACCCATAAAGCTGTAAGTGACAGTAAATATTACAAATAAACAATATTTTTATATGTGGCTATTCCCCCTATTTTACACCATTCTTAAACTTTTCAAACTAATCATAGAATTCTGTGTACCTTTGCAGAGTTAATTGATTTTCTATTCCATTTATCTACTCTTTTTACTTTTCTAATCCTCTTTCCTCATTTTAAGACTTGTAATACTTTTTCACCTACATTAATTTTGAACAAATAAAAACATAGCATAAAGGTAGTGTCTGAGCCTCTCTTGGCATGTAATGCAACCTGATGCAAAATGCCAGTCACAATATTGCATTTGCTCAGGTTTTAAAGGAATTTTTTGGTTCATGTACTGCACAATATATTCAATAAATACACATGGAATTAAAAGCATATTCAAAATGTTTTAAGTAATTTAATAATGTTGTTTCTTAGTGTCCTGACTATGATTTATGCCAGAGAATTTCTGGGCAAAGACAGCACAATAGTACGGGATACATATACAGTAGAGACCAGTGGGATCCTGAAGTCATTGAGAATCAAAGGAAAAAGAAGAAAGAAGCCCAAAAAGACAAGAAAGGAGAAGAGGAAGAAGAGGAGGAAGAGCAAGAAGAAGAAGAGGTAATATCTCAATAGGTAACTGTCATACACTACACTTTTAAAAATTGCTATAATTAAATTAAATGCTGATATACATACTAGGAAATAGCAGATGCTATAGAACATTACATTTTCTTTACACATTGAGTTTGGAGGAAATAAGCAAAAATCTTTCATGTTTTCAAAAATTACGAGATCATAATCTTGAGGTCAAGTTTAGCCCTCCTTCAGCATAGATGTGTCTCTACATTTCTGACATTCTGACACCTAGTGTGCTTCATCTCATAATGGTGGAGTCACCTACTATGTGTCAAGCACTAGGCAAGGTAGAATAAGAAGTTAGAGCATTTCTTAGTCCATTTTCTGTTGCCTACAACAGAATAACTGAAACTGGGTAATTTATAAAGAATGACTTCTTTAAAAAATTTAAGCTTCAGGTGGTACATGTTCAGATTTTTTGTATGGATATATTATATAATGCTGAGGTCTGGACGCCATTGAACCCCTCATCGAAATAGGGAACACAGTACATAATAGGTATTTTTTCAACCCTTCCCTTTCTCCCTCCCTTTCCCTTTTTGGAGTGCCCAGTCTCTATTGTTCCCATCTTCATGTCTATGTGTACCCTGTGTTTAACTTCCACTTACGTGTGAGAACATGCAGTGTTTGGTTTTCTGTTTCTGATAATGGCCTACAACTGCATCCATGTTACTGCAAAGGACATGATTTTATTCTTTTTTATGGCCGTGTAGTATTCCATTATGTATATGTACCACATTTTCTTTATCCAATCTACTATAGATGGGCACCTAGATTGATTCCATGTCTTTGCTGCTTTGAATACTGTGTGATAAACATGTGAGTGTAGGTGTCTTTTCAGTAAAACAATATATTTTCCTTTGGGTATATGGCCTGTAATGGGATTGTCGAGTTGAATAATTCAGTTTTTAATTATTTGGGAAATCATCAAACTGCTTTCAACAGGGAATGAACTAATTTACAACCCCACCAACACTATATGAGCATTCCCTTTAGAAAAGGAATTTATTTCTTATAGTTATGGAGGCTGAGAAGCCTAAGGTTGAGGAGCCACATCTGGTGAGGGCCTTCTTGCAGGTAGACACTCCACAGAGTCCTGAGGTGGTGCAGGGTATCACATGGTGAGGGGGCTGAATGTGCTAGCTCAGGTCTCTCTTCTTCATATAAAGCCACCAGTCCCACTCCTATGAATCTGTTAATCCATGAATGGATTAATTCTTCATGGGCCCTCATGACTCAATCACCTCTTAAAGATGAGTCTTAAAGACCCTGCCTCTCAATACTGCCACATTTGGGACTGAATTTCAACATGAGCTTTGGAAGAGACAAACATTTAAGCTGTAACAGAGCAAAAAAAGACTAAGTAACCCAGGGAGCAAAGTAACCCAGGGAGCAAAGTAACCCAGGCATCATTCAATTTGTGAAGCTAACACAACCCTGATTTCAAACTCTAATGAACAGAGAACATGAAAAGTTCAACTTATAATCAACATAAATATTCTAAGAATAACATGTTCTATTTTCATCTTAGTTTTTGAAATCTGGTATGTATCTTACTTTTATAGTACATTCCAATTACACTTGCCAAATTTCAAGTGCTCAGTGGGTAGATGTGGCTAATAACTTCCATGTTAAATAGCATAAGTCTAACCCCTTGCTTATAGGGTCTACCCCTATAGGGTCCAGTGAGTCCCTCCCTGCTGGTGTGGAGATGAGAAATTAGAAATAAAGACACAATACACAGAGATAGAGAAGAGTTTGGGCCCGGGGGTCCACTGCTACTCGAAGCACAGAGACCAACAGTGGCCCCAAGAGCCTGGACACTCTGACTTTTATTGAGTGTAACACAGGAGGAAGGGCAGGTAGGATGAGGTAATGTTGGTTAGTGATAGGGTCAGGTAAATCATGTGTCTTGGAGATAAGGGGCCCAAGACTTTGAAGAAGCCGAGGCAAGGAGAAAACCTAAGGCGTCAGCACTTTTTTCATACTTGTCAAGAAATAGGAAGGTCACTAAGATTTATGTTACTATTACTAATTCTTACTTTCTAAGGAAAAGAGGAACCAGGTGCAGAAGTAGGACTTGAAAGTAGCCATGGAATGTGACCACTGAAGCACAGCACCACACAGAGACAATTAAGTCTCAGGATGTCTGTGGGCTTCCCTGATAGCCATCAGGCCTACCACAAGAGCTTGGAGAAGCAGAGTTTTCTCCTAACTCCTCTGGGGAGGAAACATCTCGGCCATCTTGGACGTCTCCTTCCCTAGCTGGCTAACCAGCAGGCACTTTCACAGTGCTAACACTGTCACACAGCCAAGGCATCCTCCAGCAGGCCTTATGTGGGCATGACAGAGGACTTAGAGTATCTTGCCTTAGGGTCACCTCTTTTCCAATACCACTTCAGTCCCATATTTCTTGACCCAAGACTTATTAGTAAGATTAAAGATCATATGATTATATAGATGAATATATTTATGATTACATATGAATAGCTGTGTGATTATATATGAGTATATATAGGAATAACTATGTAAATATATTTCTAATTTGTTTCTAAATCTATATTTATATGAGAACATGCTGAAGCTTCAGACCCTTGCCTTGGCTCTTGCAGGGTTCTCCCCTCCATTGCTCTGTTTTATTTTCCTCATAGCACTTATCACTTTCTGAAATTGTTACTTTTTTACTTGCTTCTTATCTGTCTGCCCCACTGAATGAAAACTCTATGTAGCAGGGACAGTCTCCAGTGCGACAGTGGGTACTTAATACGAAGCTGTGTAATGGCGGAATGAATGAATGCCAGCATACTAGCAAATCCCTCTACTAGAGAGAGAAAATGGTAGCATCTTTTGGAAAAGACACGTATATTAAGCCATTTTGGAATGTATAACCTTTGGTCTGGTAATTCTACTAGTAGGAACTATTGTAAGGGAAAATGTTAGCCATATAAAGATTTATCTACGAAGCTACTTATTGCAACATTATTTGTAATCGTGAAAAGCCTGAAACATTATTGTCCAAGTATAGAGTAATTCGATAATTGTACATTCAAGGAAATTAATATATTATTTGACCATTAAAATAATACTTAAAACAGTTGATAAAATGGCTTATATGGAGAATATGGCTCAAGTAAAATATGCATGTGTGTACATTGATAAAAAACAGGAAAGAATGAATAATTTGCATCATAAATATGATATGGAATACTTATTCTGTGCCAGACCTGTGATGAGAACTTTTACACACACTGTTCCCTCTGCCTTAAGATGTTCTTTCTCTAGAAACCTGTGTGGCAGCTCTCTCTCCCTCATTTCCTTCGGATTTCAACTCAACTTCCACTTCTTTAGATAAACCTTTCATGGCCACCTGATGTAAAATATCGTCTTCTCCCACCACTCTCCATCCATGCTACCCTGCTTTATTTTTCTTCCTAGTACTTACCACCCCCTAATATGTTATAAATGTATTTGTGTACTTGTTTATGCTCTCTTCCTCAACTACATTGTGTGTGAGTGCTATGAGCCCAGGATGTTAGTTGGTTTTGTTCACTCTTCTATCCCAAATCCTTAGAACAGTGCCTGATGCATAGAAGGCACCCAATAAATGTGGAATGAATGAATTAAAAGCTCAGGTGTTCACAAGAAATATAATTTCTCTATTTTGCCTCTAAAAATCTGATGCTCTTTCCTATTCTTCCCTACTTATTGGGGAACAAATGGAAATGAGTAAATATCCAGGTCAATTTAAAACTTTATTCCATCTGATGAAGACCCCTTAGGAGACTTTCATTCTCTTAAATAAAAATCTTTTATCTTAATCTTGAACCTTCCTGTATGCCCCCAGCCCCACTTCTTACTCAAAAATGATATCTAGGTGTAAAGAGTGGGGAATGTGGCTTGTAATTGAATAATTAATTATTCATCTAAAGATATTTGAAAACTCTTTTTTTCCATTTAGGCATTTATTGCTGAAATGCAGATGGTGGCTGAAATTCTTCATCATCTGGTTCAGAGGCCTGAAGATTATTTGGAAAACGTCAAAAACATTGTTAAGCTTTATAAGGAAACAATTCTCCAAACTTTAGAAGTAAGAACAAAATATATTGCTAAAAATTGGAATATTTATATTTGTTTCATCACTGACTAAATAGCTTTCACATGTCTTCATCCCCATGTATTATCTGTCTGATTCTCCTCTTGAGCTTTGTAGAAAGCTGTTAGAAAAAGGCTTCCATCTCAAAGACTGTTTCCCAGAACAATACTATTTAACTCTTGCAACTCTGTTACTGCAAAGTGACAAAAGAACTGCATTTTTCAAAAGCCAATGGGGTAATTCCTTTATGGATGGAGGTTGGAAAATCATGTTAAAAGACTCTGTTGTAGAAGTATTTTCAATCTGTAATTTATAGCTTTATCAAAACAAATGTGCACTTAAGGTGTACCTTTTGTGTAAAAAGAATTGCCTATTCAGTTAGATTGCTGTCTAAAGAATTGTTAAGCTGATTGGTCTATGGTTATCCCATTATATGTAAACATGTTAAGACGATTATATAGTGTAATAGAAAGATTTTAATTAAAATAATCAGTATTTTAAAAGTATGATGACTGAGATTAGAAGTATGTGGAAGAATATTTTATATGGTAAAAGTTCAGGTAAGACTCTACCAAATATAATCATTTGTGTTGGAGATTAAGTCAACAAACATTTATTGAACTTGCACATTTAGCCAGACACTGTGCTAAGCAATAGAACTATGAAGACAAATAAAACAGTCCTTCAATTGCCTGTTTCAATATGATGGAGAAACTAAAGAATGTGTTTCATGCTGTCTCACAATATTTATATTATTTTAAAGATAAATGAGTGGATCATTTTCCCTCTCATCATCCATCCCCCAAAATGAGAACCACAGTTAATTGCTTTCATATGAATGACTTCTATTCCTCCCCACCGCTCCTGTCACTGGCTTATAAACGTAGCTTCTGAAGCATGAAGTACATGACTATCAATAACATCCTTTCTTCCTTCAATAAAAATATCCTGACTACTCTTTAAGTGACTGGCACTGGGTATGAAATAAAGCCAAATTAGAATCAGATTCAGAAATTAGAAAATTGTATTTATGGGGGGGAAATGCAGAGGTCATCTTTTTAAGGATACCACCAGGTTATCCTTCCTCACATTGCTGGTGCCCAGTGCAGTGCCCAAGTCTGGCAAACAGTAAATGCTTAACAAATGTTCATTAGCACAAATGATAAGATACAAAGGAAGAAGAACGATAGCTTCAGTTTCATTAAATGTACGACTTCTGGAAATTAAATAGATAAAACCACACTCAAAGACAATAAACTGGAAAAATATTCCCATTAACTATGATGAAAAATTTAAAGTTTTGGCATATTAAAAGGTCATAGAAATGATTTTTTAAAAACCTGCAAGTTCACTCTGTCTTGAGATAAATAGACAACAAATCTGAGCAATTAACAAAAATGAAGAAGAGTAACATGCCTGTAGAAAAAAATGTTCAGCCTCACTGATAATAAAGAAATGCTAATCTAAGTAATGAAATATCATTTTCATGATCAAAATTTAAAATATGAAAAGGTAGGAAGACTGGCTACCCAAGTGCAGAAAACAGGAACTGGACCCCTTCCCGGCAGCTTACACTAGAGTTAACTCCAGATGGATTAAAGACTTAAACATAAGACCTAATACCATAAAAACCCTAGAAGAAAACCTAGGCAAAACCATTCAGAACATAGACATAGGCAAGGACTTCATGACTAAAACACCAAAAGCTTTGGCAACAAAAGCTGAAATAGATAAATGGGGTCAAATTAAACTCCAGAGCTTCTGTACAGCAAAAGAAACAATCATTAGAGTGAACTGGCAACCAACAGAATGGGTTTATATATTATATAAATTATATATTTTATATATATATTATATATACACAATGTAATGTGAAGCCTTGTTCAAAACATGATTATTTATGGTTAAGTGAACAACACTTGTAAATCTGTTGTCAGTCTAGAGGAAAACAGATCGAATCTAACCTTACACAGTATTGTGAAAAACAAAATACACTGAATAATTAAAGAGATTATTTTGTTCAAACTTGCAATAAGGAGAACGTTCATTAATAAGGACCTTCTAAAAGAAATGGAAAGGAGCTGGGTTTTATGGAAGCAGGTAAACAAGGGAGCCATCCTTGAGTCTTACGGAGTCATGAGCAAAGATGGAGGCAGACTATCTGAGTCTTTGAGGAAGGATGGAAATGGGTCTTTTTCTCAGCCATCCCTACTTTCTAGTGTCACAGGGCTCAGAGTTCAACATTGTTGACATACAAAAATAAAATATAGTAGATATTGGATTTTAATATTAAAAATAAAAACAAATAGTAGAAGAAAATTTAGAAAAATATTAATATAATCTTGAGATAAAGAAAATCTAATTTAGGTCAGGTGTGGTGGCCCACGCCTGTAATCCTAACACCTTGGGAGGCCAAATTGGGCCGATCGCTTGAGCCCAAGAGTTCAAGACCAGCCTGGGCAACATGGCAAAAACCATGGTGAAACCCTGTCTCTACCAAAAAAAAAAAAAAAAATCTAATTTAAACAAAAAAGGAAATCTAGAAGTAATGAACATATATATTTGATTATGAAAATAATTTATTTTGCTGAAGACACCATAAATACATTCAAAAGATAAATTATAGAAAGGTAAAATATCTGCAATCCACATGCCAGATTGTAGGGTGCCAGCCCCACATATCACCCGTGGGTACCCAGAGTTTGTTGGCAACAAAAGAATGAGAAAGAGACAGGTTAAGAATGCATAAGTGGGACCAGGGGGCCAGTGCATAAACTGGAGGAAGCAGAGGACCTAAGCTCTGGCTTCCACAATATTTATTGAATACAGTCACTTTTATCTATAGTGCAGGTGGTAGGGTGAATTCATGGAAGGGAGGCTGTGGCCAAACATAAAATTGATAGCAGTGGCGGTTTATGTGAGTTTCCCAAGAGCTAAAAGCATATGCTTATCAATAGACAATGCAGCTGGTGGGAGCAGGCTTAGCACAGAACTTACGTGTCTGGTTACATTCCATTGCTTCAAGAGAGTTTTATGTCCTTGGGCACTATGTTTAGAATATCAGAGCTTAGGTCATTTTGTTACTGGGAATATACTGGCAACAGAGAGGCCTTCCTCCCCAGAGGCCTCCTGCGGCCTTCTGCAGTTTATTGTTCCTGATTTCTTTTACACATTACTTATAACCAGTTTATGTTATACATTACTTATAACCAGTTTATGTAGACACATTGTAAATCCTCCCTCCATTGCTGCTTCCCCCAACACCAGATAAGAGTTAAAAACTTTCCATGAATGTCAGAGAAATGAAACAATCCAATAGAAAAATGTATAGAGTTATGATTAGGCAGTTTACAGACATGCATATCTGAATGCTGAACCTCACCACAGGGATAAAAAGTAAAACAAACTGATCCCATTTTTTAACTCAGTTTGGCAGAAATTAAAAAGTTAACATAGCCAATGGTGGCAGGAAGAAATGAGCATTCTCATACATTGCTGATTAGGGTTTTTTGTTTTGTTTGTTGTCGTTGTTTTTGAGACAGAGTTTTTTTGCTCTTGTTGCCTAGGCTGGAGTGCAATGGTGCGATCTCGGCTCACTGCAACCTCCACCTTCTGGGTTCAGACGATTCTCCTGCTTCAGCCTCCCAAATAGCTGGGATTATAGGCATGCACCACCATGCCCAGCTAATTTTTTTTTGTACTTTTAGTAGAGACGGGGGCTTCACCATGTTAGTCACGTTGGTCTTGAACTCCCGACCTCAGGTGATCCACCCGCCTTGGCCTCCCAAAGTGCTGGGATTACAGGCATTACCCAGTGTGCCTGGCCTGCTGATTAGGGTTTTGAATTGCTACAACCTTTTAGAAAACCAACTGGCTGTACCTACATGTGTTAATATTAAAACCTACTTTTACAAATCTGGCCCGTATATCCAATATATCAAGATACACCAAAGGATGCATAATCTGTGTTACAGAACATTTATATGTGTACATATCAGTGAAGTGAATGGTTGTGTAAAGAGACCTACCTGTTGTGCAGGCAGCATGAAGGAGTAGGAAGAAGTCGCGTTGATTGTTTCTATGTACTTTTTTGCATTCCTTCACAAGTTGCAGTTAGTACAAGTTATTTTTGTAATTATTAAAGAAGAAAGTAATTATTTTTCTTTTTCCCATTTATTTATTTTATTGCATTTTAGGTTTTGGGGTACATGTGAAGAACATGCAAGATTATTGCATAAGTATGCACGTGGCAGTGTGATTTGCTGCCTTCCTCCCCATCACCTACATCTGGCATCTCTCCCCTTGCTATCTCTCCCCAACTCCCCACCCCCCACCGTCCCTCCCCTATTTCCCCCCAACTGACCCCAGTGTGCAGTGCTCCCCTCCCTGTGTCCATGTGTTCTCATTGTTCAACACCCACCTATGAGTGAGAACATGTGGTGTTTGATCTTCTGCTCTTCTGTCATCATGCTGAGAATGATGGTTTCCAGGTTCATCCATGTCCCTGCAAAGGACACAAGCTCATCGTTTTTGATGGCTGCATAAGATTCCATGGTCTATATATGCCACATTTTCCCTGTCCAGTCTATCATTGATGGGCATTTGGGTTGGTTCCAGGTCTTTGCTATTGTAAACAGTGCCGCAATGAACATTCGTGTGCACGTGTCCTTATAGTAGAATGCTTTATAATCCTTTGGATATATACCCAGTAATGGGATTGCTGGGTCCAATGGAATTTCTATTTCTAGGTCCTTGAGGAATCGCCACACTGTCTTCCACAATGGTTGAACTAATTTACACTCCCACCAGCAGTGTAAAAGTGTTCCTATTTCTCCACATCCTTTCCAGCATCTGTTGTCTCCAGATTTTTAAATGATCGTCCTTCTAACTGGCATGAGATTGTATCTCAATGTTGTTTTGATTTGCATTTCTCTGATGACCAGTGATGATGAGCATTTTTTCATATGTTTATTGGCCTCATGTATGTCTTCTTT